CCAAGTTCTAGCACCGTGGACGCAGGCCTTAACGTGCATCACCCGAGATAGCACGATTTTCTTTTTATAAATCTTGATTACCTCAAGTGCCTCTATTGTCTATAATAAAGTTGAGTGAAGCTCAGTGAAGCTTCGATAACTAGGGCAACGTTTTCGACCATAGATAGCAAAATTTAGACATCGATTAACTTTAAAAAGGTAATTAATTGTTAACTCGGTCATCGGGAGAGAAGCACCGCAGGAAAATATTAGACCACATAGATAAGATATTAGAATAGTCGAGCTTCGTCTGCGACGATTTCACTAACGAATGTAAAAAAACTTCCGCAGATGGCAACCCGGTAACTGGAATCGGCTACGCGTCCGAGGTACAGAAGAACGGGCCGGTGATGCAGAACGGAACCGCCAGCTCGAATTCCAGCAGCGGCGAGAAGTCGACCGACACGTCGCCGGCGTCGGCGAAGCCGCAGGCGCGCACCCGCGTCCCACCCGGCGGCTATTCATCCGGGCTCTGGTAAAGGGCGACGTCGCCATCGGGGGTCGTTCCGTCTTCTCTCCCCCCCCCCCTCCCCGGAAGAGGACACCCCCGATTAATTCTTTCGGCCCTGTACTCTTAACCCATTAAAGCCCGCAATCCACCTAGAGCCTTCTAATCGTCGTCCGTAGAACGTTCCGTGCGGAAGTCTATTTTACCACCGTGTACTCGCAGCGACAAAATATCTTTTCTATGATTTTTCTAGAGATACGTACAGAGATAGGCGAGATAATCAATCAATCGTGGGCTTTAGTGGATTAACGTTACACATCATTCTCTCTTCGCTTTGTACTAATTCAAATATACAGAAATACACAGAAAGGAGTAAGCGTCTTTAGGCCTCTCGATTCTCGGGTGATGAATCAACCTCTTTCGATCTTCGGAGAGAACAGCCGTTGTCGAATTAAAATTGATACGTGCTGACGATCGCTTCTTTCGAACAAAGCGACGTCCGTTGTTTATTGTCGGGGCCGAAGGGGTTCAATAGCAGGACGCGCGAAGGTAACAATGAAACCGTGAAACCCCCCCAAATATCTCGCAACACAGAAACGAGCAGCGAGTCGCGTTCGATCAATGACACGATAAAGATCACGCGTTTCAATTTATCAAATAACTGAAACCGTTTGGGTTTTCTGGATTTCACTCGCGTAGTTTTGTTTCACGTAAGATTAATTATCGCAAGATTAATTACATCGAGTGAGAAGTAGAACGAGAGAATGAGAAACAGAAATGTCTCCAGAGATACTTAAGCATCTGCGGACTTGTTCGACGAAGACAGGAACGCGCGCGAGGGTGAACAGATTCCCGGGTTTCCTGAGCGTAAATTACCGGTCCTTCAATTAGCAACTCTCGAGCACAGGTTTTATCGCGTAACTGTATAAAGATAGTTAAAGCGATCGTCGGGCGTAAAGCGTTACTCTTTCGCGGCTGGAACGTTGCGCCAGTCGGCGAACGATTCGCGAGTCGTAAATCACTTCGCTAGGAAGCGCGACTTCCTATCGGCAACGATTTACATATAATGAATCACATGGACAAGCGGGGAAGAGCGCAGAGATGGAGGCGAAAGAGTGTGTCTGAAAGTAAAGGCGCGTACGATAAGGAAATATCTAAAATACACTCGTAGGGGTTTGCGATCCAGCAGTCTAGGATAAACCTGAAGGAGAAAAGAAGTTTTGCATCTTGAAACCAACAGATCAATCTTAGAAGCATATCGTAAAAGAACATAAATATTTTATGCATTCTCTGCAACGTTTTACACACTCGATTCGTTGATATTTGTTAACTTGAGAGGTTCAATAAGTAAGAGTGTTGCTCGTTTTATTCGCGTGACCCATCCGAGCGATCTGTCTCGTCAACGTCGAGCAATCGCGGCATTTTGCTCGTTTCCAGTGTTGCACGTCGATCCGTTTAGAATTCGCTCCCACCTCGAGGTGAAGGGCAATGATACGTATACATTCACGTATACATATATACACGCATACAGAAGAGTAGACCAAGATCGTAAGACCTACGATCGTTGCTGTATAACGCGGCGTTGATTAGGAGCGAGAACAGAAAAAAAAATCGTTGCACCGATCAATCCTGCCAAGCGTCGAAGGATATATCGATTTAAAAGAACAAAACGTCAAAATAACACGTAATTAATAGGCTAATTAACACTTTGAATGGAGTAACCGTTGATTCGTGGTACTGTTTAAAAAAGACGGGGGATGAAGCGTTCGAGTCACGAATGACTGGAACCGTGAGAGGAATGGACTGAAAAGTAGCAGCGCGTTTTTGACAATGAAACTGCGAGATGGAGACCTCGGAATTGTACATTAGAAGTAGGCATGTGTTATTTCGAGAAATAAAAGTGTATCATGTATAACCCATTAAAACCAAGTTTCAAGTGCTTTCTTCTTAATATCTCTGTGCCTTCTCAGTCGCATGAATCTATCGTTGCGCGAACGATTGAAGAGAGAGACGGAATTCCGTTTTCGCTCGCGAGAGATCGTCCTCGGTGGCGTTTTGACGGTGAAACGAACCGAGAGAATGCAACGATACGCCGATAGTGTGAACCGCCGGGAGTCTCTCGAAGAGTCAAAAACGGAGTTCCGTCATCGAACGACACTCGATTTATCCGCGAAGCTGGATTATTATTTATCTATTTATCGGTATTGTATACTCGTCTTCTTTTCGACGGGCGACCGGGCTCGCGCCCGACGAGTCGAGGGACCATTGCTCGTCTCTCGGTCGTCGCGCGCCCGCTCGTCGTTGCCCTCGCTTCTCTTCACTTAACGATAGTAACGCGTGATCAAATGTATTTATTTTGTAGTAAAGAGCCGTGCACATGTATTATCGGTTCTCCTTTCTCCACGCAAGGATTCTTACGCGGTCGTTTGGTGTGAGTAAACATTGTTTGTAACACAATGCATTCGTATTCGTCTAGTAGTCTTTTTATACTCTGGCAATGATTAATAAAATTTTATAAGCAAGACGCCTCCGCCTCGTTTCTCTCCAAGACAGGTATAGCTGTAAAGAATTAAATATGATAAAATACGTTCAGCGATTTTAAACAGACTACAGTGCATTGTACATGCGTGATAGCTTTTATTATGAAAATAGATTAATGCAGAAACACATAACGCAACGCAAAAATTAGATACTAAGGAAGTATTACTAATATGTAACATACGAATAACATTAAGCAATTAACTTGGCAGGAACAGAAATAATTACAGTCGTGTTTTTACATGTCGATGGATAACGAACATACACATAACGGATACACATATTAAATTCTTGTACGAAGCGAATACTGTTATTTCATAAATTAAAAATGTAACGAGTTATTTAAAGTACAATTGATACATGTCTGACGAAAACGTAAGTATAATGCCCGTTTTTATTACGCTACGAATAACCGATTTGTTGCTTAAGGATATTTTGTACGAGTGACAAATCCAACTGCAAAGCGATCACTTTTTCCCACAATTTCTTCAAAAATGATTACGACTGCTCGATGTAATACAATTATATCTGATATATTAAATGGTAGCAATAAGACTTCTCATTTCGTCGCCGTTGGCTTTGCAAAGAGCGTTGAAGATATGCTTGTGATTAGTTTCCTGCTCCATCCTGCTGGCTATCTCGTGCGCTCGTTTTGTGATTATAGACGGTACGCCTGCTAGTCGAGCGGCATTGAATCCATAGGACTTTGGACATGCCCCTTCGCTGAGCTTGTACAAAAACGTTACGGTCTCTTGCGACACTTCCTCCTCCTCCTCCGTTTCCACCATGCAAGCCTAAAAATTGAAAATGCATCGTAAAGTACTTCAGAAACTCACTGAAAATACATACGAGATTAATATATATTACATATATAACTAGGTAATGGCATAACTATGATACTTTTTATGCTACCTCTTGAATCTGTAAAATCTATTTTAAATACGTCGGAGCTTCTTACCATGTGAGCTAACGTGACTTCCTCATTGGTTTTGTAATCCTCGACCAAAGAATGGTAATGCGTCGAGAACAATGTGCGACATTTTAGCTTGGTCAGTGCATCAACGACCGCAGCGGCGATTGCCGTACCGTCATAGGTTGATGTGCCACGTCCTGTGATAAGGAAATACTTTTTATCAGTTCCGTCTCGTGACGAAACGAAGGAAACAATAAGCGGCCATTTGATATGATTAAAAGATGCGATAACACCAAGTAGTAATAGCATTTTGCGAGAAAGCCATTATGACAGTGATAGGTGCTTGTTCCGAACGTATTAATACGTTTTTACTTGTTCTCACCTAACTCGTCCAAAAGAACCAGCGAGTAAGGCGTAGCATGTTGTAGTATCGCAGCGGTTTCACTTAGCTCGACCAAGAACGTGCTCTGACCGGCCAGAATATCGTCGTTCGCGCCCAGTCGAGTGAAAATACGGTCCACCAGCGTTATGCAGCACGAGCTGGCTGGAACGTAGCTGCCCTAGTTACGCAAGAAAATTAAATTCACGTTTTATCGATGTAATAACCGATTGATTTCACTCGCGTGCATTTTCCCTCGCGAGACTTACAATCTGCGCCAGGATTGTAATCAGACCCACTTGGCGCATTAGGGTCGATTTGCCTCCCATATTCGGTCCGGTCAAAATCATGAAAGAGGCGGCGCCGTCGGCTGCCAATAAGGTGTCATTCGGTATAAAATTGTCAGACGCGATGCAAGGATGCTTTCCGTCTTTTATCTTGATGAACATCTAGGAAAAAGGCGCTCGTTGTCATTGTTTCGGCAAAAGAGTGCGTTACATTAATCTACGATATTTGTTAGCCCAACGATACTGTTACCTCACCATCCGATCCGTCGTGAATCTCCGGGATACACATATCGCCGTTCCGCGCGTAATCCGCGAGGGAAATGAGCACATCCATGGTGGCCAATTTATAAACGGCTGTATGCCACATGTCATACTTTTCGCTGAACTGCGCAAATATTCGTCTATTGAGGTCCTTCAGTACCTTGTCCTTGTGATCTTCCGCATTCATTTGTCTCGCCAAAATCTCCTGCAATAATTGAGATATTAACCTTTTCATTTTTATATCTTTACAGAAAGCACCGACAAGGAATTCAAAATGTGAATTATTATCCTTGCCTTTGCTTCGGCGGTATAATAGCGTTTGAAGCCTTTCCTTTGCGACTGTAATTCGTACCCAGGACCAACTTTCTTAACCTGCGAATCGGGAACTTCGATTTGATAACGTTTTCTATCTGATCCATGGAATGTTATTTTCACACCAAAGTGCTGCCTTTGTTTTTCCAAGTATCTGTCTAGACTTTTCTTGTTGTCCGCGAGCTCGACTAGAACCGAATCATATTCGGCGTCTACTCCCTTTTTCGGAACGATGCAGCCTAGCTTCTTAGCTTCTTCGTGATCAAACGCGGTCTGAAATCGTCACAATGCTGCATCAAGCAACAAAGTAAAGAAGTGATCAGAGGACTTGAAAGTGAAAGCGCTACCTTAAAGTAATCTAATGTCTCCCTCAATTGGGGAAAATCACCATCCGGTTCGTACCGAGTATGACGAGTTATCAAGTTGCTTTTGAAATCTGTAAAACGTAATTATTAGATATAAAAACTTACTATATGTAAAGAAAAACAATCATACCATCAAACAGTTCGATGAATTTCAGCACTTCTTCGAATTTGGCGAGTGTCGTGGTGAAATCTACAATCACCCTTTTCGAATACGTCGGGCCCTCAAACATTATGGCTCTACCGTCAGGATGATTTTTCATTCTAGCAGCATTTCCCTGAGCATGGATTCTATTGAAGCAAAAACAAATATACGTATACATTAATGTTTCAGATTTCCAGAAGCGGAGTGTAGCATGTCCGGTAAATGTTCCCTCTTACTTGCTCAAGAGTCTTTCAAGATCCGGCAGAGTTGACAAAATTGCACGAGCCGACTGTGTCACATCCATCCGATCCACTAATTCCTGTACAGCTTCCTGACGTTCCATAATAACGGTTTTGCGGCAAGATGGCCTGCAGATCCATTCGCGCAGCAATCTAAAAGCACATACTCTTAGCTTATAGAATGTATAAAGTAAAATAATGTATGTATAAGATTCGAAATTCACCTTTTACCGAATGCAGTACAACAACGGTCTAACACACTAATGAGCGAACCCTCTCCGAAGAGCCTTAGATTTTTTATTGTAACAGCATCTATCACCATAGTGTTTGCGTAGTTGAGACCTGTCTGACTGCTCGCGGCCGAAAAGTCTGGCGGAGTGTAAGTATTGAAGCAGCCTTGTGCTAACAATTGCTGTTCAAGTAGGAACTCCTTCAGCAGATACACACAACCTCCTAGTGCGTGTATCGCTAACTCTTTATTATCCGCCGGCGTTAAGCCCAAGCTGTCGCCTGATGCATAATAAAAAAATTATTTATACATACAAATTATTATCGTAGAGCTTTTCTCTAATTGTGATTAGTTACCTTCGTTTAGATAGGGTCTCAGACCTTCAGGCCATGCAAAGCTCGAGTCCTCTTCCTTTTTGAAATAACTTCCTTCGTGAAGTTTCTTTAAACAGACAAACAAAATACTTGACACACACTAATAATAATTTATCTACACAATTTTTATGTACTAAGCATTATCTGTTACTGACTTTCAGTGCAGTTGCAGCAGACCAGAACTGAGCCTCGCGTTGTAGCGGCTCCTTTAGCGCCGCTGGCAGAGTGCTGTTTATAAGCTGCAGAGTCTTTTGCGACAAGTTCCCACGTTCATATATCACCTAAGAGACAAAGCGGAAGTCAGCATTTGTACATGCTCAACAGATGCGCGTAATATTGAGAGGATGACGATTTCGTACATGAACCGGCGGATGATGAGCTAGCACAGTTAATAGTCTAGAGTTGCAGCGATCATCGACAAATTGGCCGAGGTAAAATTCACCTATCGTTGTATCTATAAAGCACACTCCGAAGGCGCTGGTCGTTGAACCGAGATCGCACTTTTCAACCAAGGATAACAGATAATTGGAATTTGGTGTAGACGCTTCCACGTCTAACGGAGTATATACTCTCGTACCCCTGGTACTGACTTGACAAATTTCGCGCTTCACGACTTTATCGAACTTCGTTGGTCTAGTCACTGTAAATAAAAAAAAAATGCAGATGCTCAAGATGTGTTTCAGATGCGCTCTTTACCTACGATGAATTAAAATGTATGCTTCATACTTTTGCTGCAACGTGCCGCCATCATTTCCGGATTCTCGGTTTGCTCGACTCGCGCGACTTTGTATCCTCTCTCTATTAGACTCGCCGAATAACGACCGTACCCAATTTCGGGGAACCCGGAATGCGCAAATTCGCCCTACAATAATACTCGGTGTTCTATACTGAATTCAAAATCACTTCTCGTATGTATGTACATGGACTTACTCGCATGTACGTGAGACTGAGCTCATTGACACCGATAACTGCATCCATGTGGTACAACTCGTAGAATTTGCCGATTTTATAGAAAAATACACAGTCAAAGTGCTTACTCTTTAAGTCCCACCATTGCTTCATCGCCTAAACAAATGTTAGAGCAAATAACTGTACCGATGTTAACAGATGGCAAAGCTTTTAACGACAGGAACGTCTCTTACGGGTGTTTGATTATTTAAGAAATCGACGGGTACGTAGAGCGTCTTGGGATCATAATCTGGATCCTTCGGTGTTCTTCTGTGTATATCCTTTATCTTCTCTGGTTGCAGGAACTCGAATTTCAAATGTGGCCAAGTAGGCGTAGCAGCAAGTCCATTGCTTACAGTTTGAGTTTGAACTTGTGCAGGTTGTTTCAAATCTTTCTTGTTCTGGAAAGGCATTGTGAAATTAATTTTTAACATGGCAAAAAGCAGTCGAAAAGAGCTTACGTCGTACGAACAGTATCAATAGATGAATTCCTTAGTAGTAAAAGAATCAATTATACAGGAGTGAGAGTAAAAAAAACGTCAATCTTGCAGTTAATTATTACTCACAGTTTTTATATTACGAGAACGATTTGCTTGCCCTGGCTTGGATTTGGAGCTGGCCTTTTTCTTTTTCTGAAAAAAATATCAGATACAATCTTTACGATAGTGTTTATCACAATTTGAAAAGTACTATTCTCACCTCTGGCGTTTCCTCCTCCGTCGAAGGTTCATGCTCCGACTCTCCTTCGGAAGCTGACTCAGACTCTTCAGACGCGGAATCTGTAATATGGAATATTGAGCACATAATACTGACCCCTTTAATAGCTCCTTTCTTAACTTAAAATTATGATAGTTCAGAAACATTATTGCTCGCGTGATCAACAAACCCGGCTTGAATTCATCTCCGGAATCTTCGCCAGACTCAACATCGGGAATAATTAGGCGTCGTTTCTTAGGCCTTGCAGGCTCGTCTTCCGCTTCAGTGTCCTCCTTGTACGATCTCTTCTTATCCCCGGTATCTTTATTTTCTTTTCCATTTTTGACAAATCCTACGTACACAATATGTACATAAGTACAATAAAGAGTGGCGTTAACAATTTCAATTACAAAATAAAATAAAATGTAGTATAGTAAAGTCCAGTTTAAACTACTTGTTGAATAGAGTTGGGAAAGTTACTTTATAAAAGTATCTAATTACAGTTACAGTTTTTTTGTTGCTAAAAATGTAACTAGTTACAGTTACAAGTTACCAACTCTGAAAAGTAACACGTTACAGTTACAGTTACTAAAAAAATCGTTACTTTGCAGTTACTTTCTCGCAATGAAAATAAAAATATCAAATCTGCGCGCTTGAATCATAAAGTGCCGATACAAGCGTTTATGTGCAAATGCAGAACCTAATTCAATCTGTAGGGGTTTAAAAACTATATAAAGTAACTATTAACGCAACTATTAAATTAGTTACTAGTTATCGAAAAAAATGTAACCGAGTTAAGTTACAGTTACAGGTGGAGAGAAAGTAACGAAGTTAAGAGTTAGCAAAAAAAAAGTAACTGTAACTTCAAGTAACGAGTTACTTCCCAACCCTGTAATTGAATATGCCATGTGATTTTTACTATACATAAACATTCAAGTCGAGAACCACGATTATACTGGCGCATGCGAGAGGACGTTTGATTACACAAATTGTCATTTCATGTATACAGCACCACAGTAGTGAAAATCAACGTTACGTATGAGACAATGATCCATTTTAACCTCATACGTGTCGTGTGACACGACCGACAGCGTACTTTTCATTCGAAAGGCAGTTTTTACAAGCCGAACCTTTATTCTTTTGTTCTCTCTTGGGGGTCTGCGACTTCGCTCGTTGCTCCTTCGCCGCCTCCGGCTTCTTGACAGCTTTCGGGGACGTGAAGTAATTAAGTATCGTATTTACTTTCGGCATATTTGGCTGCAACACGATCGAACGGAACCAACGTCAAGCGATATCACTTGTGAGAAATACGGCGGAAAGAATCCGCGGGAACAGCCACGCGGCGTGACAATACAGAGACCAAGAGAAACGATGCGACGGATGCTGGAGGACTACATCGAAAGCCCGGCAAAAGCGCGCGTCCTTCGCGGCTTTCCGAAACGCATCGCGATTCGTTCGCCGACAGTGCCGGCAAACGTTTAACTCGAATGTCCCTGGCGACTATCGCAAAATGTACGTAGGGAATTTAGACCAAAATGGGCACAAACTCGAAAAAAGTTTGGAAACAGCCGCTCTTCTCTCTTTTTCTATCTCGGGTCGTGACGTTTCCTAAAGGTGCCTTTTCATACGCAGCATGCAGCAGCAGCAAATTAGTCACGTGATCCAAATTCACTACAGCATATTTGCTGCTCACGGAAAAGGAATAGCTGCAGCAGCACTGGCCGGCTAGGGATGTGTTCGAAAATGGATTCAGTTACTGCCAGTGAAAACAGTATAGTTGGTAGCAATGAAAATTACTGGTGCTGCGTTTTTCGCACGCCAGTAAAGTCAGTAAGGCTGGGTCTACATTTGGATGTCGTAAGTCGTGTCGGAAGGAATTGACCAATCACAGTTCATTATTCGACTTACGACATCCA